CATGAGCCATGGTCTCAACAGGGAAAGATTAATCTCAGTAGAGGCACAATTTTTTTTTCTTTCTTACCATATATGGAGTACAACTCTACAACTAAAATAGAGTTAAGATAAGCTTTGAGCCTTAGCACTTGCTTCTGAACAACTGTGGTGCTGCCAGTCCCATTCATATCTCCTCGACATTCCTCCAGCATTCATCAACACACACGTGTTCAGAGCTGTGGCTTTGTTGGAAATACAGTAAGTCAAAATTGCCTTCATTGAGCCAAACAGGGTTCCTCCCACCACCTCTCCCCATACTCCTGAAAAAGAGCATCCTGAAGAAAAAACCATATTGAAGTAGGAAGTTCCTTCCAAGAAAATGAAGCCCAGCCCATCACTACAAACTCCCCAAAAGGTCCCAGAAGTATAAACTAAGCTGTCCCAGAAAAAGAGACAGACTCATTAGACAAACAGTGTCCTCCAGGCGCAAGGCTGTGATTTAGCCTTTTCCTATGAGCCAGGCTTGATGTCATGTTCCTTTCAGGGACTCTGGGCTCTGCGTCTCCTGAATCAGGGTCTAGTCTACTGCGTCAAGCTGCCACTCCATGTAGGAAGTATAGATTATGTCTTAGTTTTTGTGGCATATCTAATACTTACTCTTAGGGTTATAGGCATTTGGAATTATCTGGGCTAAACCTAGCCACCTAGAATTATTTGGAGTTAAGCCCTGAGGACTGAGAAGCACATGGGTCTGTCCTGATTTAGTCTGCCCAGTGGCAATCTGAGAAGATATTTAATGGACTCTGGCCTGCCACGGTCTGCATGCTTTTGTTTCCCAAGGAAAAGCTCGGTCTTCCTTGGCTGCCAATAATTTCAGTTGTCACAAAGCCTCTTTAATTAACAATAGAGCTAATATCTAGTTCCATCCATTTTCAATTATTCCCTTATATGGCTATGCTGGGCCAAAGCAATTAGCCAAGACTTGGAGGGGCTTCTCCTGATACCCTTTAAGTCCAGGGATCCAACACTCTTCATTCACTTCCTCAGGACAAGACAGCACTTTCCACCTGTCTCTGAGAATGACTCAGGGGAGACACCAAATGGCCCCTGGCCTGCACTTTGTATTCCACCTCAGGCCTCATAACAACACTGTGATGAAGGTGAAGCATTTTCATCAAGTAACTGAAGAGGTGATGGGGCCAGAAGCTTGAGCAACTTTCCCCTTGCCATATTCATGACAGAGTTTCATATAAAACAAAGGTAGGCTTAAAATTTTCTGGGAAAGTGGAATTAAAAGCTAAGCTTATGGTACAAAACATTGGAATCTACTAATAGTTTTTCTTAATACACATTTCAGTGCACTTGTTTTGAAAACCTCTCATTCAATAGATTTGTGCTCATTGAAAAATTATAGAAAGATTTTATGAAAGTTGGCATTTTTCATGTATTAAAAAGGATCAGTATCAATTTGTATTGAACTTGTAGCATTTTTTTTCAGCAACAGGCATTCAAACACAACAGGAATATGTCTCAGCCTGCCTGCCTGCCTTTGCAAGGGCCATTAATAGCTTGTTCTTGGTGAAGCCAGCGACACAGGGTAAATGACATTGGTAAAGATGACAACAGGGAGGGTATGTTTTCTAGAGATGAAGAACTAAAACCCATTATGCTTGTTCGCTTTGGAGCTCCCAGGTAGACATCTCCATTCTCAGAAGCAGCCCCACTTCCCAGTCTTGGCCTATCCCTGAAGCTCGCTTTACTTGTGAAGGCAACTGGAGCTACAAACCATGGCAAGTTCAATCAGGATGGCTTAGAACCCTCCTTCAACTGCAGTCCAGATCTCAGGAGTATCTCAGGTCGAGCCACTTTCAGCCTCTCTCAGCTGGGATGCCTAAACTGACTCAAGGCTCTCTCACCTACCTACCACCCCTCACGAGCTACAGGGAAAATGTTACTCTCAAAGTGGCCTTCACCATGATTAGAAATTCACACCAATTATGCATGTTATTGTTTCATAACTTAACATTTTTTGTTTATCTGAAAAAAAGATACAGTGCCACCTTCTACACACTGATTTCTTCCTCGAATGCTTACATCAGTGGGGCTGAGGTGCACTGAAGCCAGGCTGGAACTCATTCCAGTCTGTTATACAAGTGACAGGGACCTCAGTACTTGAGTCATCATCTGGTACCTTCCAGGGTAAGCATTAGCAAAAAGCTGTATAGCAAGTGGAACTGGGACTCAGCCTGGCCTTCTGATATGGACCGAAGGTGTTCCAACCAGTGTCTCAGCCACTACATCAAATGCCCACTGTTGTGTACCTTATTTTATTAAGATAACAAGGGGTCATCCCAAGCTCAACAATGCTACAGAGCTGGTCCTAGGCCAGGATATACATGATGTAGGGACAAAATTACACCTATGCAAGAAATGGGCACTACTACCAAAGGTCAGGTGCCAGGGTCTCAGGAAAGGGAGTGACAAGGTAATTATTCAAGGGCAGTGCCTACCCCAGGGGCTACTCTATTTCCTGTCCCTAAGAAGCAATTTATTAATCAGTTTTTTTTTTAACAACAGCTCCCTATCTTCAGAACCAAGTGGCTTCTCAGAAATAGTTTCTGAGCAGGTGGTGAGCTAAGCCAGAGAGAGAAGCAACAACCCTGGGTGAAGAAAAGGAGCCGCAGAAGTTCTGTGAACTTGATCCCTGACATGGAATACAAAGAATCCACCCACTATGTGAGGCAGGGCTGGTGTCTGCGCCGTGCTGTCCTGCCTTGTAGGCTGGTAAGAAGCTGCGTTTCTGCCGTTTTCCCCACTGATGGAGACCTGGCTATGTGGGAGATCATTCCCATGATTACACGGACATGATGTGACCATTCCTGGTAGAACCTTGGTCCCCAGGACCTGTTCAAAGGATATGGCATCAAGTAGGAATCAGAATGTCAGAGACCTTCTCCAGAGGAGCCACCAAAACTGACCTGAAAGAACTGTACATATCCAAGTCATATTCATTCATTCATCCATTCATTCATTCCTCATTTTACTGGCTGTTAAAAAGGTCAAGCTCACTTTGTAAAAATGCATACACTTGTAGGAAGAAGGCCCTGAAAGGTACCCATGTTCCACCATTCACTGTCTTTGTATTTTTTTCTCCTGCTCTCTGCCAGCACAAATACACAGGTTATACATGAAACATATATACATTTTATACTGTTTATATTTGAATGTACGCATCCTAGAAGTATATATGAATACATATCTGCCATTATTTTTCATCTTATTTCCTGGTGACCAATTCCCAGAAATAAAATAAGTACATAAAAGGGGGTGAGCACTATTAAGATTCTTTTAGGGCCAATATTTGGTGCAGTGGGGTGATGTTGTGATTTTTTTTCGAGACGCAGCTGCCCCACTTCTGAGTCAGCTCCCATGTACCTGGCAAAACAGTGGAAAATGGTACAACTACTTATGTCCCTGCCACCCACATGGGAGACCTGTATGGAGTTCCCAGCTTCTGGCTTTGGTGTGGCCCAGCCCCAGTCACTGGGGACTGAACCAGGAGGTGGAAGATCTCTCTCCTCTCCCCAATTCTATCAGTCTGCCTTACAAGTAAATAAAATAAAATAAATGCTGTTTTCTCTTTCTTTTTTTTTTTTTTTTTGGAAAGACTCCCTCCAGCTTGGTCCCAGTTCACACAGAACAATTGCACATCCTCCTCTAGTAACCTGAAAAAATAGGTATATAAAAGTGCATCACATATGACAAATGTTATTATTAGTAAGGCTAGGGTCTCCTCAGTATCTGCACTAAATCCAGTCAGCTGAATTAGCTTCACACCTGCTCCTGCTTGTCTTCATCGTGGAGGAATTAAGAACAGCTGCTTTCTACTGTGCCCTTGAGCAGTCTCCAGGAAGAGGACCTGGAGTGCTGCCTTTCCTCACCCTCTTGGTGTCTGTCTTCTGATGTGAGCCGAATGAACCAGGAAATGTTTGTATTTGTTCAAGGCCCCACTGTGAACCGCAGGGCTTTACTCCTGGGGATGTTCCCCAGCTGCTCCATCCCAGACAGAAAAGCTTGTTCCTCTCATCAGAGATCTCTGCGAAAGGCCCCATCACAGCAGAGACAAGGATAGCGATGACCTCACTTGCCCACAAACAACATGCAGCTATTTATATTCTCAAGACTCAGTGTGGTACTGTACTGCAGTGCTGATTCATGGCTCAATGATCAAACTGTACGGACTCCACCTTTTCTGTAAGTAGAGACCAAGGAGAGTATTCCTGTTGATATCTCATTCTCACTGGGCTCCTCACCCAGAGAAAGCTTTCCTTCTCAAAATGGTTCCCAGCACTATCACAGATCTCTTTAGGAATATGAGTGTGGAGAAGAAAGGAGATTTATATTAATGATGTGCAAATGGAAAGTGAGATAATTACAGTGAAGTTCTTAAAGCTGTCATCTAAGAAATGGCCTTTGGCTTTTAATAGAACATGCCTTGTTAATGGTCAAATAATGAGTAGTCAGCATTTATTTGTCACACACCACACATCAGGCACTCAGCACTGTGTTTATGCTTGTTTAATTCCTCAAGTAACACCATAAAGTGAGTAGATTGATTACCTCATTTTTACATGTACTCTTAATCATATAAATGAATCTTAAAAAGATAGTGTTTAAACAAAAGAAGCATAGTGAGAAGTACATCAGGCCATTTGCAAAATTAGGTTTGCCTATAAAACAATACACTGGCCAGGAATTTACTTTCCTCTAACTAGATTTACTAAAGCAGTTGACTAAGGAAAACACATGCAAAACAATGCTTAATACTTACGGTAAAAATTGCTTCATTGACCCCTGGTAACTTCCCTTTGTGTTCCAGGAGGTGCAATTTCAGACATATATCAGAAAGGAGCCCATTCTCTAGGAAATGCCAGAACAGGGGCTTCCAGTGTATCACCAAGAAAGCCACAAATCCGCTGGATTGTAGCCTGATGTGAACTCCAGGGAGTCACTTTACTTACCTCAATGGTTTTACAGGTGTCCTCCAGTTGGCTGATCACTCCCTGAACTCTATCGTTGCTTCCTACGAGGAGAGCGATGCCATCACTGAGCTCAGACTAATGGAGAGAAAAGAGGGACTCAGATTTTAAAGACTTCCCAAATGCCCCACTTGTGGATTAGTTGTAGTAGTTTTCTGGTGGGTTCTTGGATTAGGGCTTTCATAATCCCTAAGGAGTAACAGTGGTACTTGGGAAACTCATTCACAGGCAAACCGCTAGTATGGAAAGAGATGCCATAGTTCTTCATACATTCTTAAAGGAGATTGTAATTCTAAAAACACTATGAATATTGACTTACAGCCACTGAGAATAACATATCCAAGCTAAAAAATCCTAAACATTGTTTTATAAATGAGATGAAATCCAATAGCACAAGTATGTGACTTCAGGAACCTCAAATGGATTATTTTGCCTAATGTAGGTCAGGATACGTTTTACTGGGGAAATGTACATTACAAGTAGTCACTTACTCAGCATACACTTAGCACAGGCCTGCAAGGCTAGCTAGGAATACCATGCATACACACACACTCACACAGGAGGTTAAGTCACGCGCAACTGGTTCTGGGAAGAAATGTCCTATGTTCTTTTGACACCAGAAGAGCTCTAGTGTTTGTATTCATCCCATTGCTGGGGCTGGTTTGTAGTTAACAGTGAACACTGAATGGAAATTTAGGAGACCTGATTACTTGACCCAACCTTGCCCTTCATTTATCTCTGATGTTGGACAAAATAATGTAACCATCTTACATCCTACTTTTCTCACAAATTAAGACAGGAGACTGGACCACAGCAGTGATTATGCAACATTTCAAAGCTGCAGAGAATCCTTTCTTCAAATGGAAGCCAATATAGAGACCTACAGGTAAAAGGAATGCTACTTTGTCTCATCTGGAGTATAGTGGGCTTTCTATCAGTCTGTCCTGTCCATATCACATGGATTTCCAGACCTCTACGGGAAGCGGTGTAGAGCACATACCAATCAACTCTAACTCCTAATGGCTTGGAAGTACAAGCAAGAGGAGGAGACAGAGAAAGAATCGTAAGTGGATGGCAAAAGCAGTAAATGTTATAATTCTCTGGCAAAACTCTGCTTTCTTACCACATAGGGATTGCTGGTGTTGCCCAGGAGTTGGGCTTCCAAAGTAAAACGCTGACCAAATGTGGCCTCAGGGATTCTAACTGAAGGAATAGAGTGGTCCAGATTCTTGGTGCTCAGAATGGCTGTATCTTTAGAGCACTTACTCCACTGTTAACTGCTCCGGAGGCTTAAGTCCTGATGTGAGTGCATGAGCAGAGGGAGGGGCTGTAAGAGGTTGGGGCTGCACTAGGTTGCAGTGTGGGACTGTGGCTGAGGCCCTGGGGTGAGTGACACTGAAGATGCCTTTTATTTTTTTACTGCTGGCCCAAGTGACCTGAGGGCTAGTAACAAAGCTTTAAAGCTGTTCTGTAATTCAACATCATTATTGTAACTCTCACTCCAGGAATAGGGAAAAGGAAAGGAGGGGAAATGGAAACTTTTTCTGGTGAATAAAATTAAGTGCTCTGTGTTGAGAAACCTTATTACTTAGTACTTAGTATTTAGTACTGGGCAGACTACATTACAAATAATCTTGAATACTTTGAGGTTGGGCCAATCCCTTAACACTGCTCTTCTTCAGCAACCTCAAAAAGCACAAAAAACAGTGACCCCATCACTCCGCAGCCTTTCCCAACTTCTGTATTGCTACTCTCTTCTCTTCCCGAGGGTCATCCAGTGACTCTGATAAAGTCAGATGAGTAACACAGCTTCCCATTTGGGCTCTGCCCCTGGCAGTGTCTGGCGTCTCATGGTCCTCGTGGCTTGGGCTCTCCCCTTCTCCACCACCAGCACATAAGGAGCTGACCATGTGGGTGCTTGGAAATGATTCTAAAGCAGCTCTCTTACCTTCTGCCTCTGGAACACATGCGTGAGCGGTGCCACCTGACAATCCTTGTGAGCACCGAACACCTTGCACAAGGAGCAGGTGGGCACTTCACAGTTGAGGCAGTAGATGTTGATGCGCTCATCTTCGTGCTCCTCACACATGGGCTGGTCGGATTTCTTTTCTGGCCTGGATGGAGGGAGGTAGGCCAATTAATGTCCATCAACTCCTACTGGGACTGAGTGGAGAAGCTGGGCTGCTTTGCAAACCACAGCTCATGCCTGTACCTACAGTGGCCCTAATCTGGGCAACTCCCAGGGAGCCCTGCTTGTGCTCAGAACCAAACCAATTTGTCTTCCCTGTGGCTTAGCAGTGACAAAACCTCTAACAACTTGTTTGGGGCAGAGCTGGGGACTCTGAGGCCCTGATCTGTAGCACTTGCCAATTTCTGAGGTTTGAATATTTCCATCACAGAATATTTCAAGTTATTCAAGGTAGTAAAACTAGACAGAAAAACTCCTAAAAGTTGGACACTGGGCTCTGGCAAAGCGTATGATTCTCAAAAGGTGCTTTCCCATTATGGGTAAAGAAGGGGTGTCCGGGTCACACAACCTGAGTGCCTGGGTTTCACACTGTGTCTAGCTCCTGACCCTAGCTTCCTGCTTGGTGGAGACCCTGAGAGCAGGGGTGTTGCTTCAGGTAGGCAGGTTCCTGCCTTTCATGCATGAGACCTGGCTTGAGCTCCTGACTCCTTGGCCCCTTCCAGATTTCTGGGAAAGGAACTGACTACAAGCATGCATGTTCTCTTTCCTCATCTCAAATTTTAAAAGACAAAGGAATGGGGAGTGTTTCTGGCAAGCTAAATCTCTGTTTTGTACCAGTTTTTCAAAGGAGCTCAACCGCACCACTCCAGCATCAGGAGTATTTCCACATACAGAAGGGAATGTAAGGGTGCTAGGGGAGCAGAAATCTGTCATTGTTGATCTAAGACCAGGTATTAGCTGGAGGTTGCCGTGGAAGAGAAAGGAGTGAAGATAACCTCCTTAACTAAATGCAGGACTTTCACTATATCCTATCTACAAACCAAGGCTGATCATAGTTATCAGGAGGAATTATTGGAAAACCTCAAATTCAAATGCTGTCCTCAGATTTTCAGCTATTTAGAAGCATTTTTTTTAGTTGTTATTGAGTCCATTTTTAAATTGCTGGCTTTTATGGGTCACAAAATCAATTATTATGGACTATACAAAATCAATTTATTGGATTACAACAATTACTAATATATATGCATATGTGTGTTTGTGTGCATGTGTGTGTGACAAGACTTCAAAAAGTTCATAGGAAATGAAATTCAAAGCTATGTTTACTTTGGTGCAAAAATTTTCACACTCCATCCACAATTTCTTCACAATGCACATTTTCCACAAATTCTTGAAGATCTCCCATATAGATGTCTTCACATTTTTTGTGCCAAAATAAAATTGACTGAATTTCATTTTTTATAAATGTTTTGAAGTACTTCATACATATGTCCATGTGAACATACACTTGAAACACCACCATGCACTTAATATAAATGTAGTCATACACCTGCTATAATGTGAAACATACTTCCTTCTATGAGGCACTGATGTGTGCCTATGCTTTGTAGCTATAGCACAGATCTCAGTGATGGCGGAGGTTCTGCTGACATATCTCTGTAAGTCTCTAGGTAGAAGTCAAGTACTTGACATTAGGCCAGTCATTGGGAGAAGCCTTGAATCTGGTAAGCAAATTGCATAGATTTCTAGCTTCAAGACTTTAGAATCTGCATTTTTGCCAACTGAATTTGTTATTCTTGTAGCAATATGCTTTCCATGAAATCTTTGACCTTCTCTCTTGATGCTTGGAATTCAATAAAGCAAAGCAAAACCCACAACTAAGAAAATAATGCTCTTTCCACATCTCTATTTCCTCAACTACACTGTGGGCTCCTGAGTTCCCTAACAACAGGGCCATAATCTGTACCTAGTACCCAGAACAGTGCCTCCCATGGAGGGGGGCTGGAGGGAAGGTGGGGAGTGGGGGGGAGTTCTCTCACTGAACAAGTGAGAAATTCAAGGGAAATTTGCCTGATTCATGCATAATACTCTCTGTTCTCTGATCTAATACCACCCAGGCACAGGGAATATGGGGAAGTTTGATATCACTTGACATTCAAGAATAGCAGAAGAGAAGGCCAGACATCCCAATATCAAATTCAGACATGTGAAGCCCTCTAGGGAATCTCACGTAGAGACTCAGACTGTGTCTGCCTGGTGAAAGGCTCCTGCATCTCTGAAGCCTTCCCTCTCATGAGCACATTGCAGGAAATGTGGCTAAGCTGGAGCCTGTAACCCAATGACCAGAAAATGGCAGAGGTGGTATAAATGAGGCTTATCTTCCCTAGTGCATCTGTGTCTTGTGTGCTGTTCTGATGTCCATTGAAGAGCACAGGTGTATACAGTATATAGAGACACTGACATTGTGGAAACAGCCACAAGGCTCTGAGTTTGGTTCTGCTTATGGCTCAGGTTTTTTCATGATACAATTATATACTGAGAAATACTTTCTATATTCCTTAAGGATTTTTTTTTTCTGTTTTTGTTGCAACACAGGCCCAGAGGTACCACACATCCAAAGTGGGTATATAATGAAAACCTCTGAATGGTTTAAAACATGTAACAGGCATGATCAAATACTGCCTGTGGAATAAAGATATAAATATATTTTGAGGAAGTGAGAGTGTTGTGGCTCACAGATGTGGTTCAGGGTCCAGTACCAAATGTTGCCAGTGGTCTTTAGTAGGTCAGGGCTGGCCAGATGAAAGAGTGTATTCTGCTTTCTCTGGTCTCTGAGACTTCTTGGGACCACCCTAGAGGTTCCTGAGAGGGGGCATTTAGCCTTGGTAAGGTGCTTCATACAGTACCGATGTCATCATATTGATCTTCAATTCTAACTCTAGCTTAGCTCCTCTATTTATTGGGTGGCTGTGTAAATCTAGACAAGAGCTACATAATCTCTCTTAGATAGCTTTGACTCAACTAAAAGTCACTGGATGGGAGTTGGGTGCAAGGGTTACAACATCACTTGTTTTATCTGCACCTCATGGCAGAATGCATGACTGGTGATCCTAATTCCACTCCTGGCTCTAGCAACCTGTTCATGTGCACCCTGGGAGTCAGCAGGTGCTGGAGCAAGCCCTTGGGTCCCTGCCTCCCATGTAGGAGAAGTGACAGAGTTCCAGGTGCCTGGTTCTGGCCCAGTCTAGTTCCAGTTTCTGTGGGCATATAGAAAGTGAACCAGCAGAAGGACAATCACTGTCTCTGTCTTCGAAATAAAATAAAATTTGATGTATAAAAAATTTTAAAATATGTATAAAATTGGGCAAAAAGTCTTCTAATTAGTTGTGACAGAATAAACAGACATTTACTTATTTTGTCTTCCTGAAATGCCATGCAAGTGAGAGTAAGGAAAGAAAAAGAATGAATTAACAATAACAAAGTGATCAACATGAGAAATCTCAAACAAATGTTGAGCGTCAAGACATACTGATGAAAAGAAGTGACCTGCTTGCTTGTATTTTAGCTCTGCCAAGTTCCCACAGGAAGGAGGCTACAAGAAGCCAACTGCCCTGCACTGGGGAACTTGGAAATGCTCTGGAGCTATAAAACCAAGCACCCTGAAGGCAGGAGTGGGGGAGGCGCTGGAAAGAGGAGGACGGTGTGCACACTGCAGGAGTTTACTTCAGGGTTTACACCATAGAAACAAGAAAGCAAATCAATGAAGAATAAACCACAGCAACCCACAAGCAAGGGGTTTTGCCTACGGGAGAGTAATAGAAGTCCTTAGTACAATATGAAGTTTAGCTTTGCGAGGGATTCAGAATGGAAACCATCTACAATGGAAAGTCAGGAATGTCAAAAATGCAAAAAAAAAAAAAATCAAGAAATAGGCACAAGCCAAAACACAGATACACATATCATAGTCGATAAATAGAAAAATAGCTGAAAGAATTAAGAATGGCTGGTTTGGTGGAGTGAGACTTAGGGTGAAGAGAGAGTAGGGAAGGGACTGCAGCTCTCATTAGAAGATTTGTGGTACTGTTAAATTTTAAAACTTATATATTCAAGGTATTTTGAATAAAACATTTAAAACCTTTAATTGAATGATAATAGTCACCATTTCCAACATTGTTGAGAATGAAAGATTTATGTGTAAAGCAAGCTGAAGCATGGCTGACACATGACAAATGGAGTGTTACTTTTATTTTAAAGTTATTCATTATTATGTTTTTAATATTAGTCAAATTAGTGCCTTCTCTTGTTATCCCCCAAACTATGACCAGTCCAGCATCATGCAGCATTCTAGAATGGAAGCAAAATTTTGTAGAGACCTGCAGTCTGACTGTTCTGTGGGAGATAAGAATTAACTAGCACCTCCTAGCAGGTTAGTGGCAACCCCCACCCTTTTGCACCACCACATCCTATTGATCAGAGATGGGCTCATCTCCGTCTGAATAGCCAAGGTCATTACAGCATCATTTCAGGTACTTCGAGTCTCAGGAAAATGGTGTGGCAGTTCAGGGAACAACTGGCTTGGCACCCAAAGGGGCCAAGCCCTCTGAGCAACTTGTGGTTTTACTCCCAAGTAAAAGGCAAGTCTCAATACTGTAAGAAGAATCAGACACAGATACCCCTACTCCACTCAGAAATGAGATGTAGTGTTGGAAATTTGGTTCATTGCTTTTATACAATTTGATTCCAGCCCTTGGGTACTAATTTTGGCAGCTTTATTAAGCAAACTTTATAGCTAAATGAAGAATATGTTTCGTACTTTCACTGACACTGCAAGTTTTTAACATTTCTGGATTTTATCACAAGTATTAATTTTCCACATTTGAGGTCCTTCCCTCCCTGCACCCCACTTTGTTGCATGGCAAGTAGTAAAAACAGATTATTGCAATACATAAATAGAACATATGAGACTATATGTGGTATTATTCAATTAGTTGGCACTTGTGGAACAATTATTCTGTGCAAGGCACTGTAAGAGGTACTGAAACAATTTTCAGATAAATTCCTTTGATAACTGGTTGGTTATTAATTGGCTGGTTAATTTTTTTTTCTAAGAGTTTGTATATACATTTGCATCTTAAAATAGTGAGATAGAATGAGATCAGATATATGAGGAAACAGCAACAATAGTAGTACTTTGCTTCTTGGCAAGAGACTTTGGGAGCAAGGGAAAGCGCCAGCTCCAAACTCTGCAATATGTCGTCAGCATTTCTTCTCCAGTCCCCTATCTGGATCCTATCTAATTAAGTTTTAAATTTTAGGCAGAAAGTGATATCCATAATAATTACAGTAATTATGTGAGATTTATAGAACAGCTTTCCATAGAAGAACTCAAGGCTCTTAGAGCCTGGCAGATGCTCCATCAATACTTCTCCCTTAATAAGAATCACAATGAGGCAATGAGGCTGGGTGGCCTCAAGGTTGCTGTCAAGCTTTCGGATTGGACTGACCTCTGTACAACTGAAAAAGAGCTCTTATGCCATGCCTTCCAGGAATAGCTCCCACAACGTTGTCTCTAGGAAAGAAACTTGGTAGTCAATGTAGTTTGATAAAGAAGGAGACTTCTTTTAAATGAGTGTATATAAATATGTGTGTGTGTGTGTGTGTGTGTGTGTGTGTGTGTGTGCGTGTTGTGTGTGAATACTGTATGTCATTTTCACTTAACAAGAAGATACTAAGAGAGTAAGTAAATACAATTTAGGGAATAGGAAAACACAATCTGAACTCCCATCTTTTTTCCCACTTCACATCTCCAAAATGAAGTTTGCAAAAGTTAGATCTATGCCTTGTTTTGCAACTTCCCAGAGAGTGAATTCAGTGATAAACTGTGCTATAGAATTTTGATTTTGTTATCATTATCCAGAGCAATTTAAGGCAAGACTGTGTGAACTTGGAACAGGCTATTTCAGAAAATTATTTTCCAAAAACCTTATTTTCTATAAAGTTTTGCACCAGACTTTTTCTGTTAGGTAGGGTTTGGTATTATGAAAGAACTGTGATATGCAAAATTGTCTGAGATATAAAGAACACAAAGCATCAACACCAGCTTCCTTCTCAGCCCAGGGATGATCTCAGCCCATTGGGAAGGACAGATTTGCAAAACTCTTTCTCAATGGAAAGCATTTGGCTGTGATTGGCTAAAAAGCATTCAGAGAGTAACAAAAACAGAAAGAAACAAAGACACCAAAAAAAAAAAAAACAAGCCTTGGGCATGACACAGGAGAGCATTACCTGGTAGACTCTTGCTTGTAAATGTCAATGATATTTTCCACCAGCAGGTTCCTCTGAAGCCCATAGACTCCATGTCTGTCCAGAACTACTTCATGCCTACAGGATGGGCAGCGGAAGCGGCCCCCGGATGCCACAGTGGTGCCTCCTCTTGTGGGCAAGTACGGGTTGGAGGCCTGTTCTTGCCAAGCAAGAAAACAAGAATTGAGTAGTTGAGTAGTGCCACATGGAGTATATCTGAGACTTCTTTTCACTTTGTGACTGCAAACAGTACGAACTTGTGCTTTTGAGTTTGCCAGGAGATAATCCCTCAGGACTCAACCAACAAGTGATCCTGAACACAGGCCAAGCCCTTCTCCATAGTTAATGAAAACGTGTCATTCTGAGTTTGAAACGGTTTTCCATACGATGTTTTTACATCCAAAACTTATAGTCAGAAACATTCATGACTTGGGCAGTCATTTATTTTCATCTTTGATCAGATTCAACAATTTGGCTTTCTTATGCTGATTCTTAATATTAACATTTGGAGTTAAGAAAGAGGTAGACAGCAAAGCACAAACCCTCCGAATAAACTTTTCTTAACAGTAAATTTAGCTTTATAAAGTTTTCTAAAGAATCCAGTTCCTGTTAAGTATTTTATCTTCACCCCTCCACACACAGCACATACTCACACAATTCCAAGCCTACCTGGAAAATATCACTGGCACATTTCCTGCACAGGTTATGCTGACAGGGTAGAATGACCACAGGCTTTGTGAACATCTCCAAACAGATGGGGCAGATGAGTTGTTTCTCCAAGTTATCCATGGTCTGCTGTTCTTTAGAAAAAGACTTGTAGCTCAGAGATGCGCTCATCTCCTGGCCGTCCCTGAGTTCTGCCAGGGAAAAGGTGCTCTGAATGGTTTCTGCAAGAATTTCCTGGAAATAATTCCAAGGATTGGATCACCAAGTGTCCTTTACATTTCTCTCCATGGAGGACATTGTTTCAGGCCCTGGTTCACAGTGGGTGCCTGAGCTGTTTTTAGCAGTCCAGGGTCACGTGACAGTGAACTAGCTTGTCCATATAAGCCAGTGTCAGGGAGATGGATTCTGACAGGTGACAGAGAGCAGAAGTCAACATTCTTACCCCAGGGAATGAAGAGGGTGGGTGGGAAGGAGGATTACGAACTCCATTTAGATGGGCCAAGGGGGGTGTGAGGAGAAGGAGGTAGAAGCTGACAGTTGTCAGCAACAAGTCCAAGTGTGCATGCCTGGTCCCTGAGCCAAGCTCTCCATGAGCACTCAGTCAGACCCTGGTGACATGCTTCTCCAGGGAGGAGCAGAACACGGGCTGAGAATCTAACTGTATGACATTTGCCACTGCTATCTTGAGAATCACCTCCTCAGGGAAAAACACACAAGTCAGAAAACCCTCATCCTAGCTTCACAAGGACACATGCCTAAGATTTACTCATCTTTGTCAGGGTAGTGATCAGAAAAAAAAAATTATCCCATCTTAGGAGCCACTTTCAAATCTTTTCAAATCAAAAGTGTCCACAAACTTAAATAGAGGCAATTTTCCAAACACTGGGGTCCGGATGATTCTTTTCAAAAGATTGTATCATGAAATTCTAGTGTGCTGTTTCCTAAAATTCCACCATGCTGTTTTCTCTTGCTCGTTGCTTTCCCTTCCCCCGAGCTCTTTTATCTTGTCTCTTCTACTCCTACACATACCTAAAACTACACAAAAACGCAGATAGCCTTTACATTGTAATCTTGGGTTTTAGGAATAATCACAGGGACTAGCAGACCTGCGAGTGAATTTTTGCCACACATCAGGGGGCTGAAATCAAGGCCTTTGAAAACAGAAGCAAAAAAAAAAAAAAATACAGCCCTGCCTCTCTGCGTTTTATTCTCTCAAATACCTCGACTTGCTTGCCTTTACTCCTTCTTCTAGAATTTTTTTTTTCTTTTTAGGTTCCAGTCATTTCCAATACTTTTGATAGGTTCTTAATTCATAACATAAACATCAAAGCTAACATTTTCCAGGATGTTGTGAAATGATTGTTAAACCAGCAAATGTCTGTTTAAAATTTCATAACAGATCAAAAGCAAGGAGGAAATCTGCATCCGTTTTCATGTGTTTGAATTTGTTCCTTACTTCTTGATTTGAAAAACCTTGAATAATGAACACGTTTTATTAGCAATGCCCTGAATGTGCCTGGTTACCAGCAGAAGCATGTCAGTGCTAGTGCTGATATGTGTTCTTAGAGAACTTAATGACATGCTAATAAGTGCATTTAACCAATAGCAAGTTATACATGTTCACAAATATCTGGGAGACCTTTGCAGAATCCTGATTCCTTTCTGCATTGATTTAACAACCACAAATAAAATACAAAAACTATTTCTTTCTGGATTCATTGATTTTACCTAAACTTGGCAGTTAATTCGGTTTATCACTATAGGGGTTACTGAGATCTGAGTATTATATATAAAACATTTTCTAGAAAAACTTAAATTTTTCTAATTTTGATTTTTTTGGGTAATAATATTTAGCAAAACCACAAATACATCATAAAGCTGTGCAAAATTTCTTTTTTCCCTTACGTTTTTATTCTGTAAGCATTTTTCCTACCTACTTTTTTTTTTTTAACTTTGTAAAAACTTTTTTAAAAACTCAGCTGCAGGCACGCACATTAGCATACGTTTGTTTACACCAGCATCACCACAAAGTTGAGTCGTGCTTTGTGCTGGGTATTTTAATAGCTACAATGTCAGCAGGGAATGTCATTTTCTGGGGTCTTTGAAGCTTCATGACATGCCATATGACTGTACAGTGGAGCAGAGCCTGTTCACACAGAAGGAGTTCATTCCCTTAAAAAAAAGTCTCGAGTATTTATCATGTGTTTCTATTGTGGGAGGCTTCGGCGACTAAAATTTGAACAAGACATAGGTCATTGTCCTTCAAGAGTTCATTTTAGCAGCAGAGAAAAGAACTTCCAATCACGATGTGATCTAAAGCAGCAGGATTAAAGAGCAGGAGTCAGGAGGACTTGCTAGGTGGGATAATATTTCATTGGCCCATGGAGAGTTAGAAGTGCCAGACAGATGTACAGTTAGGGGCACCCATAGGGCAGGTCCGAAGCATAGCCATGAGGACATGGACTCCCAGGAATCCCTGGCATGTGGGGTTAGGGCTGGCGGCCATGAACACCGAGCTAAAGAGTTTTCATCAAATAATAAATGAGGCAACCAGGAAATTGTAAAAATTTCTCATAGCACTTTTCTGTTTCTGTGAGAGCCACCACTGGTTAGATTTATCTCACAGGGATGGCTGGGATAGATGAGCATGAAGGCCAGATTGGGGGCTGTTGCCACTGAGCCAAGTGATAGGCTTTAGATGCTACTGGGGACGATGGAACTGGGGAAAGCCACAAGCAGATTCTCAGTGGCTATGCAAGTCAAGGACTCCTCTGTGAATCAGATGGCAGAGTCAGAGGGGCCAGTGACAGCACAGTCACTTGCAGGATCAGTCACCTGTGTCCACCTCATCTCGTGGACTAAAGAAAGTGACCCTGCCTCAACTGTATCTTTCATCTGTGAGTAAGCAAGGTTCATCACCTAATGGAGCAGCATGGGAGGGGGCAGAAATCTCTGACATTCTTCAACTTTTACTTTGAAGATCTCCAATATGGGCCTGGTGTAATGGCTTAGTGGCTAAATCTTTGCCTTGTCCATGTTGGGACCCCATAAGGGTGTCAGTTTATGTCCTGGCTGCTTGTGAGATGGGAAAGCAGCAGAGGATGGCCCACAGCCTTGGGACCTTGCACCCCTGTGGGAGACCCAGAAGAAGATCCTGGATCCTGGCTTTGGATCGGCTCAGTTCTGGCCATTGTGGCCACTTGGGGACTGAACAAGCACATGGAGATCTTTCTCTCTGTCTCTCCTCTCTGTAAGTCTGACTTTCTGATAAAAATTTAAAATCTAAAAAAAAATTATGTATAAAAATTATTTATAAAAAACATCCTCAATATGATCACAAGATGTCTACTGAGTCCCCATTCCTCCTTCCATTTTCTCTTTCCCCCAGGACTGTCTCTGGAGGCCACACAGAGAGCCAGCAAGATCGCCTAGGACTTAGGGACTCTGGTGATGAATAATGTCTCCCTTACCCTCTATATTCTTTTTCTTCGATGCCTTGTTCATCCTTCCTCTTAGAGACCAGTGAACTATGTGGCTTGGGAGTGGGACACAGGGAGACTTGCCTTAAAAAGAAATCAGGAAACTTCAGTCCACTCCCAAATCATTCACAGAGTGTAGGAATTAGAGACTACTCTGGAATTGAACCAGAACTTCAGTTATTTCCAGGAGTCTGGGATTTGGAGTGGAGCTTAGCCTCCATGGAGACATGAAATCTTCAGCTCCTGAAGACATCCCGCACGGCGTGAAGACAGACACAGCACACTACTTCCTCCCATCCTCCTGCCTGCACTGTCACCGACTTGAAACCAACTGGGAATAATTACACAGGGAGCCACCTTGGCTGGAAGTCCTGTCAACTTCTGCCTGGAGAACACTGGTTATCCAAGCAATACATGCAGAAATGGAGTTTAAAGAAGCTTGTTTTGGTGAAAAAGAAGAAGAAACAAACCAAATTGAAATCCATAGGTTTGTTTCATAATACATATTTTCCATGAAATTTCTGAAGACTTCCAAAAAATACTTGTATTTCAATTTTTTACTCTTAGTAAACTTATCTTTTAATCCATTTTGATGACAGCTTGAAGCATTCTTTAAGAAAGTAAAAGAGAATGGTACTGTGGCACAGAAGAATAAGCTGCTGCCCGCAACACTAGCACCTTACTGGACATCAGCTCACGTCCTGACTGCTTCAGTTCTCATACAACTCTCTGCTAATTTACCTGGGAAAATGTACCTGGGAAAGCAGATGTGCTTGGGGCCCTGTCACCCACAAAGACCCACCAGGACAAAGCTCCTGGCTTTGACCCGGAACTTCCCTGCCACAGTGACTATTCGGGGAGTGAATATTCTTTGTGAGGAAAAGAATCTACAAGGTCTCTCCCTCTCTTTTCTGTAACTCCTCCTTTCAAATAAAATAAATCTTAAGAGAGAGAAGGAAACGAAGAAAACTGGACGATTTAAATTGAGTTTCAGGTTTCTAATTGTAGTCATTGTGGCCATTTGGGAAGAGAAGCCATGAAGAAAACTGTCTCTCAAATAAGAAACAAACAAAAACAGGCAAAACTCCACCATTCTCTCTTCTTCCAACAGTTTCCCAATATCTGTAAGTCTAAAGAGAAGAGATGGATTTCTAAAACCCAAGGATGCACCCCACAGTGAAGCTGGCGATAAGGAGGAGACAATGGCAAGAGAAGGCTTTGGACCTCTTTCAAGGTCAAAGGGAAGCTGTCTCAGGGGCCAGAGCATGCAGACAAAGTAGAGACCTGCAATGTAACACGGACAGCCAGTTCAGAAGCTTAGTGTTAGGCCAAACTTCACAAGGTACCAGGCCTGCCTTGGCATCAGACACTGGAAGCAAGCTTGGAGGCTTCTAGGTCTCCTGCACTTTTGACCAAGGTGGTTTCCTCTTCCTCCTCAGTATGAGAATTTACTAGAATGATTCACAAAACTCAGGAAAACATTGCTTATGATTATAGTTTAATCAGGATAAAAACTAGAAGCAGACAAAAGAGCTGCTTAGGGCAAGGTCAGGGATGGGTCGTAGGCATGAAGCCCCATGTTCTCTCTCAGTGGAGACAGGCATGTCACTCTTCTACTATGCACCCAGCTAGCACTGTTATCCAGGGAGGTTCATGTAAGCTTCTGTGTCCAGACTTTTTGTAGGGGTTTTGTGATTTGATGGAACCACTGACCACAGGAAGGTTCCCTTGGCTTCTTCCAACACTCAAAATTGTTCTGTGGGGGATGGTCCCCACAGTGGATTAGCTCAGTTGCCAAAATCCCTTGGGATCCTCAGGATTTAGAGGCTTCCTCCTAGGAACTTGTGACCCAGGCCAGATAGATACTTTGTTATGCACAAGACCCGAATGTGTTCTTCCTGTCGGGTAGGGCAACTGAATTACTTTTACTGCCATACCATTATAACAAATGTAACGATTCATTGTGTTCCAAGTACCATTCAGTAAAACAGTTGACTGTAACAGGTCTGTAACAAGTTTTGTTATCTCCATTAGGCTGATTGTAGTTGAGCAAAGTTAAGTAGCTTCCCCAGTCTTATGGCTACCAAACTATCATGCAAACTTAGAGCACTATCTTTGGACTTCA